CAGGGTATTACAAGCTGCTACCAATAACAACAATAATAAACTTAGTATAATCCCACAAGTGAGGTCTAACAATGGTAGTGTGTACGCAGACTTTACCCCTACCTTATGAACGCAAAAATATTATTTTCGATAGACTCTCGATGTAAAAAACACTAAACAAGAATCAACCAATAATAAAAACAAGAAGAAAAAAACAAACACACTACGTGTAATAATAAAGATCTAAAAATAAGAAATACAAGAATATTACTAACAACAACGGTAAGAATTATAACATGGAATAACAATGATCTTGGGATACGAAAATGTAAGAATAATATTGATACTAGTGGTAACATTAGGATATTACAACCTGCTACCGTTTGGTATAAATAATACTCCATCCGTTTCAGTTTATGTGAACGTATTTACTTTTTGATCCGTTTAGAAAAGAATGACCCCTTTCTAAAATTGGAACTAATTTAGCTTAAACTTCCAATTCTACCCTTGATGAGAAGCTTTTATAACCCCACAAATACTTTGACTTTTCACCCTTTAGCTTACAAATATTTTGAGTCCTATTTTTGTGTCTTACTATTTACTAGCTATCGGTTTTGCTTTACATCTTTCTTCCGTATTTCATGTTGTTCCTATTTTTCTTATGACCTTTTTACGATTTTTGCGGTGATATTAATATTGTCTACATTTGTTTTTTGCTCTCTTAAGTCGAGTATCTTTCCAAAATAATCTCTCTATCCCTCCGGTATGGGTAAAGTCTGCGTACTCACTACCCTGCCAGGGATTGTACTGTTTTTTTTTTTTTTTTTTTTTTTTTTTTTTTTTTTTTTTTTTTTTTGTTGTTGTTATTTTTGTTGCCAAAATTGTTATTCTTTACCAAAACGCTTATACAAGCCAAAGATGCTTGTACCAAACATCCTGTTTCCTCTGACCCTGCTCCACTCCAATGCCAAAAGAAATTTTAAAAAGTTAGATTCTTCCAGCTATTAGTTTGATTCTTATCCACCCAAAATCCGGCGATCGCCAGTCATTTCCACCACCGTCTCCAAATTTCCAGCTCTTCAGTACAATTCTAACACAAACTTGATTCTTTTTGTGGAGTTTTCTTCCATATACAAGATTTAATTAAGCTGGTTAATGGGAATGGGAACTACTACCACGCCGGATGAGTGGCCGCCGAATGCGGAATTCCCATTTGATCTTTTTGTATGGAAGAAACACAGGGCTTTTTGGGATGTTGGAAATATCCAATTCACCGATTCTTTTGGCAATTTGTTCTTCAGAGTTGACCGTGGTCAATCGCCTGATTCATCAGCTCATAGTCAGAAACTAATTCTTGATGCATCTGATAATACCCTCATTCGCTTAGTTCCATTAGTTGTAAGTTTTCTCTGTTGCTACCTCTAATTTGTTGAGATCATGTTTTAGCTGCTTAATTTAGGAAGAATTAATTAATTAATTACTAAAAGGAAGCTCCTTTCTATGTGAAAATGGAAATTGAGAGTTTTTTTTTTTGACCCCGGGAAAATCCGCAGCTACAGCCTCTGCCACAGCCTTCGGGTGAGCACTGGGTAAATCCCCCACTGTGTAATAGTCTGCAGACCACATGAGGATGTAAACTGCACTAGGCAAGAGTGCAAGTCCCGTGTGACAGACTCAGACCCAAAGGGCATTGAGGGTGGATCGAACCCTCGCCGTCCGTGTGGACAACTCCCTCCAAACCCACTGGGCCGTCCCTTCGGGACCAGAGAGTTTTAATGTTAATGGTGCTTGTTATTGACTTTATTAGGGGTTGTTTGGTATGATGACAAGTTTGGCTGGGATTAGTTATGATGAGATTAGTTATCTTGTATTATTTCTTATTGACTTTTTGGTACGTTATATTAATCACGAGATTGTCAATTTTACTGTTTTCTCTTAGGATTACTATTTCACCCTCTGGCAGATATAAATTATCCCGGTACTATTTTTATTCCTGGGTAACTTAACCCAAAAATAGTAACCAAATAAGGGATAAGACGGTGCTAAAGTTTTATCCCAGGATTATTTTTGCTTATCCATCACACCGAACGACCCCTTAGAAGCTAATCAAGTGATCAGAAATTAAACTTACCGAGGGTATGCCGGTGCCACAAAGCAATTGGTTTTCCCATTTGTTGTTTGTATTCTAATTGAAAAAAGAAATCAAGTTTGTTTGGACGGGCACACTGAATCTGGATCAGCTATAAATAAATTTATTCTGTGAATTTAGTTGTCAGGATTACTGAAGATCAGTTATTATTACAATTAGTTTTAATAATCGAGAAATCTTGCCCAACCCAGATTGTGCTCACAAGCTTCAAAAGTAGATGGAGTATGAGCCAGCCCCTCTGCCCTGCTCTCACTTAATTCCATGCTTCAGTCAGTTTCGCAACTGTGCCTAACCCACACTTCAAGTATTGAGTCATATCACTGAACCAAAACCCTCTTGTGCTACTGAAGATCGCTTATTCTCCATTTTTAAGCTGGTCAAGTTCAGTATTGATCGGGGAAATAAAAAGTTCAGTGTTGATGATCTTCTCCCCAACACTAGAACTGCAATCTTTCTAGCGGTTGATATTTGTTGTTGGCACTTGCTATTTTTTGAGCTGAACACTCGACTAAAAATTTTCAGAGGTGTCCAAGCTTCTATTGACATTCTGCGGCTAGAGATGTTTGAAGAGGTCATTCGAGGTATAACTGTATTTGGCGAATGATCTGCACTAGAGTTCCTTGTGGAATATAATATGTGTCAGATTGTTAAGACAGGAAACTGGTGCAAGTTAGATTTCTAACCTCTAAGGAATGCATCTTATGGAAATAGACTTGGTAGGGTTACATGGTCACCTCCCTTATTTTTTTATTTTTTTTGTGATAACCATGTAGAAAGGTATATTCTGAGTTATTGAAGAATCTTAATGCATTGACAGTTTGACATCATCTCTTAACTAATCAAGGAAAGAGATTTTTGTATGCTTGTTTATCTTCTTAATCTCTTTTTCATTTACTGCTTTGAATCTTTGATGTGGTGTGATGCTATTTCTTTCTGTCTTTCTTGTAGAAAGGATCATGGCAAGGCTTTATGGTAAATGATACTGAAGAGAAGGAGTTGATGTTCAGTGTGAATAGGACTCTAAATACATTTACTAGTCGAGAGTTTGATATATTCCTTGGTGATGGACATGGTGAAGGCAAAGAGGCTGATCTCAAGATGAAAGGTTCTGCCTTCAAGAGATCCTGCACCATCTACAAAGGCAATTCCATAGTAGCTGAGGTATATTACGGTATAAGCAACTGAACTAGTCGAGGTAGAATTATATGATACATGTGCTAGTGAGAGGTAGCAGGGACCCGGTGGAATAGTCGAGGTGTGCACATGTTGGCCCAGACACCATGACACCATTGATGTAAGGGAAAAAAGAAAAAGAGCAAGTGAAACTCAAGTTTAAGGGAGGAAAAATCACTATGACTCTCTGCCTTAAATGGGCTGGAGATGAATTAGTTTACACCTCTTCTGCTAAAACCAACATAAGCTCTATTAGGAATCTTCCACACAGGATATGGCTATTTCAATGTGTTTTCTGTAGTTATGAAGAATATGTTTATAGGAGGGGGGAAAAAGAAGACTTTTACTGACTTTCCATCCAATCGAAAGGAGCTCCCCCCCCCCCCCCAAAAGACATCGCTCTTTTGTCCTACATAAATATTTGTCTTCTCCAGAATTTATCAGGGAAAAGCTCAAATGGATTTACATCGTGCATCATACTTCATATCTTGCATTGTCAAAGAAACAACCAAGGTTCACCCTAGGGCCATATATATATACACACACATATAGCATGATACTTCGTTTTTATTTTACCTCAGTGGGCGATTTTTGGGTTGTATAATATACTTGGTTCTCATTGAATCCCTGGATTTTAAATTTCACTATAGAACTGTGTTAGGCATTAGAGTTGGCAATAAAAACACTCTGTCAACCCTAGCTTAATATTTGGCTTGACTATTTCCTATACAATGTGGTATAGTATCTAGTCATTGGTCGCATTGTGACATTTCGTCAGGTAAATGCTGTTCCCTGGTAGAGCTATATTTACATGAGTTGTGCGTGAAAGTGTAGGTTTCGACAGATCTTTAGACTATACAGTTTCTTACTGCCTTCTCAATTCTGGTTTTTGTATTATTGAGTCATTTGTAGCATTAGCTTTCACGTAACTTTCATATGTTTTTGTTTCCTGTTTGTCATATGTCTGAGTTTTAACCATCTTTCTTGTACTAAAATGCAGACCAGCCTTATGTACACACTTGGATTCCGGAAGCATTTCATTCCAAGGAACAGATTTCGAGTAACCATATTTCCCGGTTTTGCTGAGCTTAGTCTGGTTGTGGCTTTGGTTGTAATATTCTTTGATAAACGGAAGTTTTGGATATAAAAAAGGATCAATCTCTCAGCTTTTATCTCTTTATGGAGAACGACTTCCATGATAGAACTAAATTATGGACCTTCAAAAAGAAAATTCCTTCTTATCTTCCTCTTGTTGAGGAAGGATTGATGTAATGGCTAACATATCAGAAGTTACCAGAGTCAAAATTTGATTAACAGTAGGAGAAAAAGAAAAAGAAATGAGCCTTCTTCGATGAATTAAAACTTCTTTATTGGTATTTTCGAGTTACATGTATACCTGTTATTCTTGGTTGTCATTGTATACTGTTAACTGTTTTGCTAATAATCCAAGACCAGGAGGAGCACGGCTTATCTAGTTATCTATATCATAGCAAGGTGGATGGTTGTGTAACAAAGAATTAAAATTTATGGGTAGTTTGATGTGCTAAAATTTCATTAAATTACAGTGTTAGGAGTGCGATTTTATATTTTTCCTGCACAAAAATTCAAAAGATAAGCAAAAAGTTTGTTCGTATAAGAAGATAGAGCATAGCGGAAACCTTGAGTGATCCACTTTGCTATAACGCAAGCTTAAAGGATAAAACCTGAACTTCAGACGGTAAAATATGTGGTGCAGTTACAACATTATTGAGTATAAACACCAGATCAGGAAAACAAGTCCTAAAAGAAAACGAAAGAAGAATAGCTAGTGTGAAGATGTATATATGAATCTGTGACAATGTTCTGGATATGAAAGCATACAAACACAAGCTATATAATTAGCCTAGAGTACAGAGCAAAATTTCCAGAAGTAAACCTCACTGTTTTCTCCAGGGGAATTGGGTCAGAGCAGCATTATTTGCTGAGAATGACCAGAATCGCAGAGCATCAACAGATTCAATAATTTCCCTGTTAAAATTTCAATGTTATCTCTTGAAGTTGAGTTTGCGCTGCTCATCGCATGAAAGGAACCAGCCATCTCATTTCTGCGCCATTTCCATGTGACAGATAATAGATTTTCTTCCAGTTTTCTTCTGTAAACGCCTCACGTTGGATGAGTCTTTGTCTGCCACAATCAGAAAATTTCACAAGGAAAGTTAGTACTAAATAGTGATCTTCTATGGCAACATAAGATTCAATGGCTCATTTTAGTTATAATCTAAATTCTAATGAGTCATCTGCATATTGACTTCGGCTCGTCTATACCTTTTTCAACTCTAACCATGGTAATCAATAGAAAATAACTTTACGTTACCCTTCCGTAGTTACTTCTTTTTCCTTTTTTTCTTTTGATAAGTAATCCTTCAAACTTTTATTAAGTAGGTCATTCCTTTGTTCTTCTTCTTCCCTTGCTTATGTTCATATTTCCCCCCACATCCCCCCACCTGCACCCCCAAAACCCTTTTTTCTTCTTTTTTTGGGTAATTCAATTGTTCAGTCCTTTTTCCTTTGTTAATAATTAAAGTGTTCTCCTTTTCCTTTTCCCTCTTTTTTCTTAAGTTTTTTTTCGTCGGTAGTGGTAAGAACAAGATTCTCAACATTCACTCTTTTATTCTTTTTGACCGAGTATCCTTAGTATTCACTCTTTCTTGGGTTTTACAAGCTATGAGCATACCTAAGGTAGTAATGACAAACAGCCGCAGCTTCATCCACACTATATCGTGGGAAGTTGATGCGAGCATCTGCAGGAACATCTGGTAAGTCTTTACGGAGCTTCCCTACAACAGTTGAATGAGAGAATGCACCCACCATCATATTGTTGTGAATCATAGACCTAAATGCATTCACCTGCATATGATGTGACTATATCAGTAACCACACTTAAAACAGTAAGCTACAGTAAGAAGAGAATTTTAAGAAAATGCAACAATTCATTAAGATTTTTCACAGGCATGACAAACAAAAATCAGAGGCATCCTTAGTTGTTTATCGACAATTAAATCTCTTGCAGTTAACCAAAAAGTTATTAGCATTAAAGTATATCAAAATTATTGGAACGAGGCAATCCATAATAGTACATGTCAGAATTTATGGCACAACAGAATAAATACAAAGCTAATTTGCTCCAATTCTTGCTCTTACGGTTTTTAAAAAAATAAACCACCATAAATTTATCAGTGCACGAAAGTTTTGAAGGCATATTGAGCTGAGAAAGCCTAAGAGCCTCTAAAACACTGACTACTTTCTCTCTCTTCGACTAACGGTCGACTTCGACCATCTCCCTCTCTCTCCGACAAACGCCCTCCACAGGCGAGCCGGTGCCGGCCTCTTTGAGCAGCGGCCCAGGTAGTTCATTTTCCCTATCTCTTATACTCTCTCTTTCTTCTATCCCCATTTCTCTCGCACCTCTCTCTTCTCTTCTCCCCCCCTTCTCTCTGTCAACCCTAGTTCTCTCCGTAGGCGAAAGCTCCGTCCGGCGACCCCCCTTTACGCCTCGCCCTTGCCCTCCTCCCTCCTTCTTCTCTCTTTTCCCCCATTTTTCCTCTTCTTCTCCTTGCGGCTGTTTTTTTTGGGTCTTGTCAACGGCTTCCTTTGCCAGTGCCTACTCCGGCGTCGTGTAAGTGGGCAGCCAGGGCTGCCAGGTTAGTGGGTCACCAGGTTCGGTGGTGACAGCCCCCTTCCCCCGTTTGGTTTTCGTGGTTCTGTTGTAATTTTCCAGGTGGATAGTCGCGGCGTACGGGCAAGCAGCACGGGTCACCTCCTATTGGCGTTAGCAAAGGACGGCAGGGATTTGGAAGCGAGCGCGACAGGTTCCTCAGCCTCGGGGGACACTGATCCAGGTTCTATTCTCGGGAGTTGGTACCTCTCGTTCTCTGTTTTCCCTTCCTCTTTTGTTAGCTTCTTGTTGTCATATTAGTCGATACTAGTCTAGTCATAATATTAGCGGGTCTGTAGTTACAACCTATTTTCTTCGAGTTTGGTCAGCCACTTTTCCTGTGGTAGCGATTTCCCTTTGTCTATGTAGGTATAGTGGTTGTGGTCTATGATGGTAGAATAAGGTCATGTCCTGGGGTGGGGCGGGAGGCGGAGTAGGGGGTAGGGCAGGGGATAGGGGTAGGGCAGGTGGCAAGGGGCCTATAGGTTGAGAATTGGGTTGTGGAATATAGGGACGTTAACGGGTAAGTCTATCGAGTTGGCGAAGATTCTCCAGAAGAGAACAGTGAATATAGCTTGTGTTCAAGTGACTAGGTGGGTAGGATCGAAGGCGAGGAATGTGGATGGGTTTAAACTGTGGTACTCTGGGCGCTCGAAGGGTAAGAACGGAGTGGGTATTTTGGTGGACAGGGATCTTAGGGAGACGGTGGTTGAGGTTAGGTGGTGAGTGATAGATTGATGGCTATTAAGTTAGTGGTTGGAGGGCTCACTCTGAATGTCATTAGCGCTTACGCTCCCCAAACAGGCTTGGATGAAGAGGATAAGAGGTGTTTCTTGGAGGGTTTGGATGAAGTGGTGCGTGGTATTCCGCCCACGAATAAGTTATTTATAGGAGGGGACTTCAAGGGGCATATCACGGGATCTGCTAGTGGCTATGGCGAGGTTCATGGCACCTTTGGCTTTGGGGTTAGGAACGGAGGTTGCAATTCTCTGTTGGATTTCGCTAAAGCTTTTGAGTTGGTGATTGCAAACTCTAGTTTTCCGAAGAGGGAGGAGCATTTAGTTACTTTTCATAGTACAGTGGCTAAGACTCAGATTGATTATCTCCTCCTAAGGAGGGGTCATAGAGGGATGTGCAAGGATTGCAAGGTTATCCCGACTGAGGCACTCGCGACTCAGCACGAGCTCTTGGTGATGGACGTCGGCATCATGATAAAGAGGAAGAAGAAGGTGGTTCGAGGTCGTCCGAAGATTAGGTGGGGTGCCTTGTCGAAGGATAAAGCTCAGGAGCTGGAGGGAAGATTGTTGACTATATGGGCATGGAGGAGTAGTGGGGATGCAAACGGTATGTGGACGATGACGGCAAACTCTATAAGGGAGGCGGCAAGAGAGGTGTTAGGGGTCTTGAAGGATTACTCGGGCGGTCATGGAGAGTACAAACGAGGAGGAGAGGAGGCTGAACAGAGATAGTTATAAGGAAGCTAGGAAGGTGGCGAAGTTAGCGGTCACGGAAGCTAAGAATGCAGCGTTTAGTCGCCTGTACAAAGAACTAGGGGACAAAGGCGAGGATAAGAAGTTGTTCCGGCTGGCCAAGGCGAGAGAGAGGACGGTTCGTGATCTAGACCAAGTGAGGTGCATCAAAGACGAGGAAGGCAGAGTGTTGATGGAAGACGCTCAGATTAAGCGGAGATGACAGACGTACTTTCATAAGTTGCTGAATGACGAAGGGGATAGAGACATTGTGCTAGGTGAACTGGAACACTCTAAGAGTCACCGAGATTTTGGCTACTGTAGGCACATTAAGGTCGAGGAGGTCGTGGAGGCTATGTGTAAGATGAGCATGGGCAGAGCGACCGGGCCAGACGAAATTCCGGTAGAATTTTGGAGGTATGTAGGTAGAGCAGGATTGGAGTGGCTAACTGAATTGTTTAATATTATTTTTAGAACGAAGGAGATGCCAGAGGAATGGAGGTGGAGTACGATGATACCAATATACAAGAACAAAGGCGATATCCAGAATTGTAACAACTATGGGGGCATCAAGCTACTAAGTCATACCATGAAAGTGTGGGAGAAGGTAGTGCAAGTGAGGGTAAGGAGGCTGGTGTCGATATCCAATAACCAGTTTGGGTTCATGTGGTCGTTCTACCACAGAAGCTATCCATCTTATTCGGAGGTTGGTTGAACTGTACATGGATAGGAAGAAGGATTTGCATATGATGTTTATTGACCTGGAAAAAGCATATGACAATGTCCCCAGGGAAGTTCTTTGGAGATGCCTGGAGGTGAAAGGTATTCCGGTGGCTTATATTAGGGTGATTAAGGACATGTATAATGGAGCTAAGACTCGGGTTAGGATGGTGGGGTGCGACTCGGAGCACTTTCTGGTTGTTATGGGGTTACACCAAGGATCTGTGCTTAGTTCGTTCTTAGTTGCTCTGGCAATGGACGTACTAACACAACACAGTCAAGGGGAGGTGCCGTGGTGTATGTTATTCGCCGATGATATAGTCCTGATTGATGAGACGCGAGGCGGTGTTAACAAGAGGTTGGAGGTTTGGAGACGGAACCATAATCAGATGTTCCTTTGAGATAACGCAGCACATGTAAAGCAGCAGAATAGTGAGGAACTCGGGGAGATTGAAGAAACTGAATGAGATACTGGACCGCAAAGCTCAAGTCAGGCCTGGTATGAGTTAAGAAATTGAACTTGCCAACAAGGCTCCTGTACAGCTCTGGATTGGGAAGCAACTCACCATCAACAACTTGTAATTTCAAAGTAAGGTCAAGAGGAGAGACCACTGGAGATACCTCAGAACATTTATATTCAGCCAAGAGATCTAAAATAAACTTTCTTTGATTTAATAACAATCCATCAGGAGTAGAAGATACCTCTATGCCCAAAAAATAGTGTAAGGTGCCCAAATCCTTTATCTTAAATTGTTCATCGAGATAGGAATTTAAATCAGAAATTGCTGACACATCATTACCTGTTAGAATTATGTCATCTACATATACTGCCAAAACAACCATAGACTCCCCTGACCTCTTTATGAATAGACTATAGTCATTAAGAGAATGTGTAAACCCCTTTGCACATAGCGCACTTGAAAGCTTAGTATACCATTGTCTTGAGGCTTGTTTGAGCCCATAGAGGGATTTTTGAAGTTTGCAAACAAAAGGCTGCCCAGAACTAGAAGAGGATTCCACAGTGAACCCTTGAGGCAACTTCATATAGACTTCCTCGTCCAAATCCCCATGAAGGAAGGCATTGTTTACGTCTAGCTGAAAAAGTGGCCATTGTTTCTTAACAGCCAAGGCAATGAGACATTAACAATGGTCATTTTGACCACAGGGAAGAAAGTTTCATTATAATCAACCCCGACAGTCTGAGTATCACCTCTAACTACTAATCTAGCCTTATATCTTTCTATGGAACCATCAACTCTAAACTTAATCTTATATACCCACTTACTCCCAATGGCCTTCTTGCCAACAGGGAGAGGAACTACAGACCATGTCTGATTGCCCTCAAGATCCTGAAATTCTTTCTTCATTGCCTCTTGCCACTCAGGCACCAAAGTAGCCTAAGAATAGGTGTAAGGCTCAGAAAGTACTGTTTGTGTCTTAGGCTGATTAGAGGTAGAACTGAACCCAGGGTCTTGGGGAAAAGATGCAGAGACAGAAGAACAAATATAGTCATTGAGGTAGGAAGGAGCAACATGGGTTCTGGTGGATTTTCTCAAACCCTCAAAAGTTGAAGCAGGAATAATATGATGTGAACTAACAGGATGTGAATTGACAGAAGAAGGGGGACTAGAAGTCATGGCAGAAGGGGAAGATGAGCAAGAGACATTGGTAGGTTCATTAGAAGGAGATGCAAATACTGGAGAACAAGGTTCAGGAGGAACAGGAATGGGAGAAGGCAATGGTGAAGTAGAAGAAGAAGGAGAAGAAGGAACAGTAAAGTCATAGACAAAATTTGTAGGAGAAGAAGTGGAAGAAGAACCAACAGAAAAATTTACAGCAAAAGGAAACACTGATTCATGAAATATAACATCCTTAGAAATGAAAAATGTTCCAATTTCAAGGTTAAGGAGTTTGTAGCCTTTCTTTCCAAAAGGGTACCCCATGAAGACTGCAGGGATGCACCTACTACTGAATTTATCCCTGTGTACAGGAGGTTTAGAGGCATAGCAAAGGCAACCAAATACCCTTAAATGAGAATAAGTTGGGGTTTTACCAAAAAGCAACTCAAATGGGGATTTATTGTGAAGCAGTTTAGAAGGGAACCTATTAATCAAGTAGGTAGCAGTTAGCACACAATCCCCCCAATATTTTGTAGGCACTTTAGAATGAAAGAGAAGTGCCTTTGAAGTTTTACGTAAATGCCTATGTTTCCTCTACTACCCCATTTTGTTGGGGAGTATATGGACAAGAAGTGTGATGAATAATCCCTTGTTCAATAAAGAAAGAAGATGTGAAAGGACTGGAGTCTAACTCCAAAGCATTATCAGACCTAACAGTCAAGACTTTAGAATTAAACTGTGTATGTACCATGGCAATGAAAGCTTTTAGAATAGGAAAAGCATTTGACTTAGTTTTTAACAAATGAGTGCAAGTTGTCCTAGTAAAATCATCTACAATTGTTAGGAAGTACTTGCACCCATCATGTGTGGGGACATGATAGGGACCCCAAGTGTCAACATGTATCAATTGGAAAGGAGTGGTTGTGTGAATTGTACTATCTGGGAAAGGAAGTCTAGTTTGCCTTGCCATTGGACAAATATTACAAACAAAGTCTTGTTTACCAGAAAATAGAAGAAATAGAAGGAATAGACTTTAAATGAACAAAAGGTATATGTCCCAATCTACTATGCCAAAGAGTGTTCATTTTATTCATTGGAGAAATATTTACAAATGGAACAGAGGTGACGGAACACTCAACATTGTTCTTACCAAGATCAGGTAAAGTAGAACTATGAGAGCAAGTAAAAGCAGAAGGATGGGTAACAAAAGAAGATGAACATGATGAATTGGTAGGTGGCAATTGCAAGATGTAACCTCCATGCTGTGATTTACCACACTCCAGATGCCTCTTCATGGAAAGGCCCGGTATGAAACAAGCAAAAGAGCTAAAAATGAGCAGGCACTTTAATTGTGATACCAACTTGTGCACAAATATCAAGTTGTATTGAAAACTAGGGACTAAAAGAACATGAGACAGAGTAGTATTATTTGATAAGGTTAACTCTCCCACACAAGTTACTTTGACTTTGTATCCATTAGGCAGGTTTACTAAATAAGGAATAGGCAAAGACTTAATGTTGTGAAGTAAACTACTGTGAGATGTCATGTGGTCAGTGGCCCCAGAGTCCAATATCCAAGAGTTCTTATCAACCTTACACAACAAACAAGTATTGACTGAACATTTAGGTTTATTACTAGAAAAGAAACTGAGGATACTTGCAAAATTGGCAGAAGCAGTAAGGTGAGAAGTAGAGTTAGGATCAGACACATGATGTTGTTGAAGTAGTGTGAGTAGCTGGCTACATTGCTCGTTTGTCAACCCTGGAATAGTCGAATTATCTCCAGCATTGATAGGTGGTGTCTCATTGAATGGCTCAGGTTCAGGATGAGCAAATTGTTTAGGAGGCTCCAATTCAGTTTGAACATTTGCAGCAGTCCTTCGATTATTCCTAGTGAACTGAAAATTCGGGGGAAAGCCATGTTTCTTATAACATCTCTCCACTGTATGACCAGGCTTATTGCAATGGCTACAGACAACACTAGGCCTCCTCGGATCAAAACTGGTTTTAGGTTGGAAACTCTTCTGAAAGGGCTTTTGAAAAGATTTTTAAGACCCCGCCGAGAAGGAAGCAGACTCTGAAGCTAAATTAAGAAGAAGAGGGTTGAATTTCTCTTTGTCTTTCATCAGTGACCAGAAGAGAATAAGCTTTGTTGATTGTGGGGAAAGGACTCATCATAAGTAAATTTCTTCTGGCATTAGCATAACCTTCATTCAAGCCCATTAAAAATTGGTACAATTTCTGGTCCTCTTCACGTTTTTGAATGTCTAGTTTGCCACCCCCCACAAGTGCAATGAGAATCAGAGTAAACATTCAAAGTACTGAGCTCATCCCAAACACTCTTCATCCTTGCATAATATTCAGGAATGTTCATAGAACCCTGAGAAATAGAAGCGAGCTCCTTTTTGACTTGATAAACCCTAATTCCACTCGGTTGTCCATATATGTCTTCCAATTCCATCCACACATCCTTGGCAAGTTGACAATACAGAACACTCTTACGAATGACTGGAGTGAGAAGATTGTGAATCCATGAAATCAAGATGTTATTACATCTATCCCATTAACGAAAAATAGGGGAATTTGGAGGAGGTCACACACAATCGGGTTGAATGAAGTATAGTTTGTTCTTAACAGAGAGAGCAATAAGCATGCTCCTACGCCAATCGCTATACCCAGTCCCATCAAAAACGGTACCTATTAGTGAAAGCCCCAAATTATCCGATGGATGAATGTAAAGAGGATGATTATGGTTAATTGTATCATTCGATGAGTTATCAGAACCAGATTGACCAGAAGAATTCGGAACCGACATATCAGAAATCAATGTACCCATGACTAAGAGTAAATTTAGGGTTTTTGTAATTCACCGACAATACAACAGAAGTGAAGCAATTTTCAATGAAAAAAAAAACTGAAGCAAATCCAGAGTAGTTGCTAGAATTAGAAGAAATTGAAAGAAACTTGTCGAAGAAATACCGAACTCCAGCGAAACTTTGGCGAACACAACACGAACAGTTTTCGCCAAAAAAAAAAAGTCGACGATATGCTCAGAATTATCCAGCTACACTGCTTTGATACCATATTAAAATCATTGTGATCGATTTAGTTGCTAGTGAGAGGAGGGAGAATCTGAGAGAAAGAGGAAAGGAAAATATCTCGTGCAATTGTAAAATGAGCATCTGAAGCTTCTAGACTTAGAGCTCTTCTATTTATATTTGGACCGGATCTTTACAATTGGGCCTGGGCCAAAACTAAAAATGAATTATTGAGCTACCTATTAATACAAAGACTGGACTACACAAAATATACAACCCAATAATAAAATAAATTTGATTATGTACAAAATAAAAAGCTCTATTATCCAACAAAAGGTGAGGGGTTTCGGGCGGAGCGGGTTATTTGGTTGGGTCGGGTTGTTTAAAATGGAAGGTGGGGTTGATCTTTTACCTTCAATCAGATGATGCTACGTGTGATTTTTAAGTTTTGAAGAGCAATTTAATGTATGGGGGTTAATTTTAATCCCAGAGTACAACGGTAAGGTTATTTTTAATAAGAAACTGAAACGGAAGGTAGATATAACTTATTTTCGATAGTAGAAGAATAAATATAACCCTTATCCGAAGAATAATTGCATCAGCAGTTGTTCTATCAGATGCTATATTTGACAAAGAGGCAATGAGTCAATTGAATTTTGATAAAATATATCAACTTGCGAGCCATGCAGCTTTGTAGGGTAAACAAGCTGTTGAAAGGTCAGAATGTTAGTTGCTGATGCATCTTTTGATTTGTTAAATCCTCGTGGAACTGAAGGTATTTTCAAGAAACGAGAAATGAGATTAAGACATCCTGCTCGAAATTTGGTAAGCAAGTCTGTGTTTTTAACTTTTAGTGCCTAGATAGATTTGCTATGCAATGGGTTTTGGCCCAGTTATGATACTTTAGTCCCTAACCCTTTTTGTCTTCCCCGGACAAACACCACAATGGGCGCCATACACTAAAGAATAAATAACGACTAAATTTCCTAGGTTTCCTTGATATAATTTTTTCTGTTCATCCGAAATAACTATTGTGATTTGGTAACTTATACACCTAATGAATTTAATAGTGATTACTGTATATGAAGGCGAAAGAAAAATAAGGAAAGAGAGGAGAAAAAAAAAGTGTAACTAAATCTCTTGATTGAAGACACATATAATGGATTTGAGACTCTTTTAAGGTGGATTGTATATATTTTGTAGACTAAACATGGGTAGGTCGGGTAATTATGTAAATATGAATTTTTTTGGTAATAAAGTTTCTAATTTTGTATAGGTATGAAAAAATCCCTTATTTTATTTTGTGGTCTTTTTGAGGCCATTCCTTAAATTAGGTCCATGTACTCTGACTCAGTCACAAGTAAATTAGAATCAATTATATGAATCTTTTATTGATCATGTAATTCCATGTAATCTCATCTCATGCCACTCGTTTGCAAATACAAATAGAGAGTATTAGAAATTCGGTATATATTGTTTTTTGCTGACAATTTAGCCTGTTAGGTTAAAGGGGAACATAATTTAAATAGACATTAATTGATATTTTTCTATTCCTTTAAGATTTGCCTTCTTGCAAAATTCTTTTGTTACAATTCAGCTAGACTGAATATTTTATAGTTCAACAGAAGGATTTTACCAAAATAGTAATAGATGCATAATCACTGAGTAGCACCTGTCAAATTGCATATGATCTTGTCAACATCCGCTTACTATTTTGGGTGCCATTTTTATGATAGCAGAGAGGCTTCAAGTCTAAAAACATTTGAGTAGTGATGTAAAACTTTATTATGAGTACTTTAATAACCCACTTGCACGATCTTCATTTTGTCACAATCTTCAACTCAGTTTTCGAGCCTGATAGTGTTGCAGTTTTGATGAATCACATGTGTATTTGCCTTGCATGCATAGCTTTTTAAGATGCACTTGGCAGTTAAT